GCTGAGCATCAGGAGGCTCTAGCAGAGCAGCACAAGCTCCTCTGTCCTCTGTACATCTCATAAATGAGCCCATTGCACAGATTTCTTTTCAAATTACAGAAAGGTAAGAGCACAAGTGCAAATTTACAAGCAGCCAATTAGTCCTTCCTGGTTTTAATTGCACTTATACTCAAAACCCAGGTATTTTACAACACCAACTTGCTTGCAGTGGTGACATCCTTAAATGCTTCAGTCAGACACTCTTGTTTCTGCAGAGCAGATGTGGCACTCGGCTGGGAAAGATGGGAAACTAACTGAGCAGGAGTCATTAAGAAAAAGGAAACATTATCAAGACTAACTGAAAGCTTAAGAAGGGAGCCCAGCCTTAGCTTAAGAGGTCGGTTTACATGGATCTCAGGACAAGTATTAATCTCAAAATACAAATTACACATAGCTTTGACAGCAGCCTGATATACACAATAAATTCAAAGACACTGAAAGTTAGCTAGCTTGCTTACTGTGAAACGGTCACATTTAACTGTGTATTTTAATCTGTTTTTACTGTGTCCTTGTCTTTTCACATTTTGTACAGAATTAAACACATCTAAAAACAGAGCATAATTAAAGAACATGGGGCTAAAGCTTGTGATTTGGTGATTGTTAAGTTGTTGATTTTCCAAGCCTGCCGAGAAAGGCACCACCTAGAAACTTTCACGTCACAGTTTTCCAGAACRGTATAAATTAAGTTTGTTCCAGGATGTCCCTCTTGAGATACAGTCCTGTCAAAAAGGACATAAAATACTAACCCACTACACTGTGCTCACATTGTGCAGCTGTCTCTCTTGTCGCTTGCCACAATCAATCCTCATGCTAAAGCAAGAGCAGATGCTTCCCGTACTGGAAACTTCCATGGAATTACTACATGGGTACACAGGGAAGAATTAGCTTTAAGGCTGTATGATTTCTACTGCAGGAATCAACCTTGTCACGTTGAAACAAGATGCTGTGGATAAAAAGTCATAACTGCAGACTCTGAACAGGGACTTAACAAGATAATAAGTAAAGGAACTTAAGAAAAAAAATGACAGTGAGGGTGACAAGCCCTGGAACAGGCTGCCCGGGGAGGCTGTGGAGTCTCCTTCTCTGGRCATCTTCCAAATCCACCTAGATGTCACCCTGTGCCATGTGCTCCAGGTGTCCCTGTGTGTGCAGGGGGGTTGGACTGGATGATCCCTGGAGGTCCCTTCCAACCTTAAGGATTCCATGAAAGCGTCCCTAGGAACTGCCTTTCAGACCAAAGGCCACACACACTGAGCCACCTGAGCACGATGAGGCTGGGAGAAAGAAGCTGAGGGTCCAAACCCAGCACTGTCACCAGCTGCAGTCAACCTGGGGTGACAGAGACRTGGCAGAGCCGGCCTGTTGCTCCCTGCCAGGCTGCCTCTTGGCTCGGTGACGTGTTTTATAGGACACAGGGAGGGACCTAAAGGGGAAAGGATGACCGTAGGAACAGGGCAGCTTGCTAACAGGACTCCAAAAGGTTTTCCCCCTCTCTTGCAGGCAGCATCTATACGGACAGGAGAAATATTCAACCCTCAAAAATAGATTTTTACCTGCTGTTTACCYACCTGAGCATGTGGCCATGGGTGACAGCACAGCTAGAGAGGCGGCAAAAAGCAAAGTAAGAACRACTCGGTGGAACTAAGGCCCTTCCAGAGCCCTGCTCTCAAAAGCTACATTTCTTTGTGGGTTTAAGAATTATTTTACCATGCGGAGTGATAGCAAGCACTGATGATTCACGAGCCACAATTAGGACTAAGGTGCAACTACTTTCCTGGCCACTTGACTCATGACAAGGGAGATTCATAAACAAGGAAGATTCATATAGCCTAATGTCAAATAAGTGTCATACCTCCCTCCCAGCTAATAAAAATAAGTAACTCAACAGTTCTGAGTTACTGCTCATAATTATGTGATTTAAAGAGCTTTACTAAGAGCTTTACAAGCTTTTTAACTAATAATTAAGTGCTCATGATGACTTGTTAAAACACCAGTCAAAAACAAGTCTTCTCTCTAGGTCTGGGTCTAATAGCAACAATGTGATTTCTTCATTTACTGGGAATTCCGGCATTCCAGGATCGGCAAGTGGTGCCCTCTCAGATCTTCCTTTGCAGACACTGTTATGGCTATTGAGGAAGAGTTTTCTGCCACTTCTGGGAATTTTACAGATAGGAGCATTTTCAGTCCTATTCAGAGCTGCATTGCCCTAAGGGTTAAACAAAATAGTAGATCGACTGTGTGGTTACAGGGAAAGAGGGAATTCTTGTGTCAACACTACCACCTGCAGGACCTCCAAAGAGATAACTAGCAATCCACAAAAAAAGGCAGATGAAGAGATGCAAAGTTTAATCTCTCTTGCATAAATAGCATCCCACGTGTCACACTTTGCCACCCAAAACCAAGACGAGCACCCCTGACTCCACCGAGTGATCATTGAAGATGAGCCTGGTCCCTGTGGCAGGAAAACTCTGCTCATCACAACCGAGTTGAGTGGTTAACTCGATTGGTTAACTCATTGGTTAACTTTAAAGGTTAAGAGCCTTTAGTCTCTTACCTACACGAGGTGGACTYGTATCTCAAGGTACTTCCAGGCTGCCATGAGGCAACAACCCRTCTGGAGACACAAATTGCCCCTTATGTCCAACTCAAACTAGAGATGAGCAGCACTCCTCAAGATTCAGCCCTGGAGACCTCAGGAAGGAACCACTGCAACTTAGAAGGTTGTTCCTAAGAACTTCATCAATAAAAGCATAAACACTGAAAAATCTCAGTGATAAATCCTAGATCATGGAAGGTGTTTTTCCTTTCTCACCACAACTTCTCTTTAGACAATATTCTCAATACTTTTAAGTATATACACACTCCTTAAAAGAGAAGAAAAAAAAAAAGTCAGTTTTCTTGGACCACTCACCTTCCTTGGTGAAGAAGGTTATCACTTCCTACTACTAAGAATCCCTCTGCTTTCTCTAGGCAAAAAGAAAGTCTCCAAAAGCAGCTTCCATCTTTCTTCAGCCTCATAGAAACCTAGCAAGGCAAAGGATATCATTGTTATACCAGGGAATTATCATCGGATAAATGCAAGAGGAGACAGTAGCCAGGCAAGAACTCCTGATTCCTAATCAAGAACTTGCCTAATGCTCAACAATTTAATACACATACCTAAAAAAAAAAAAAAATCAAATTTCTTCATGCTTCAGAGCTGCAAACACACTTTTGGTGCAAAACAAAAGAACAACAGCTAAACAAGAAGRGACTACATCCAAAAAGCCACAGGCTGGCACCTTCAAGCCCCCATTTTGGAAAGAGATGGCAAAGCCACGATGCAGCAGCTTTAATGGCAGCTTCCCTAGGGAGGCAAGAGGGGCAGGAGGGTCAATTCCTGCTCTGTCCCTTCCAGCTGCTTCCCACTTCCCACAAGGATGGTAGGAGCTCCGCTTTGGCAAGCCCAGCRCCACAGGGAGACTTCCCTAGAGCTCTTAGGAGCAACAGGATAGACCCCTCCCTGATAACCAGTTACACCTACAGTGATAAAAACAGGAGGAGTTTAATTAGTGCCCTGCAATAACACTGGATACTGCAAATTTGTGGAATGAATCCCTGGATTGAAATACAGGTGTCAAGAGATGTGTTTTGTTCAGAAGCACAAAAGCAGGAAAGAAATGGGGCTGATGAGGCACTGTTTGTGAAGAATAAATGTTATTTTCTTCACATTATCCTTAGGAGGGGGAAGCTTCCACGGCTGGAACCTGCTATAAATAACTAATCGTGGCACTCTACCAACTGCACTGGGAGTTTTCTGGGTGCTATTGGGACAAGGTCAAAGCCCGGTGTCCCAAAAGCACCCTGCGGTGCACTGAAAAACAGTTACTTTATTTTATAAACTAAAAGAAGAGGGAGAAGATGCTTATTTTTATCCATTAATTTAGCTTTACCTTTGATAGTGATGTGCATTTTGGACTACTCAAGGGACACCGTTGTCTSGGGTTTATGAAATGGGACCTTAACATGCCCTTAATTCTTCATCTCCAGAAATCTGGGCTCCTCAAGGATGGAAGAAGCGTCAGCCTCTGCTCCGCACCAGATGATGGCAGCATAAGGCCAGGAAAGAAAACACCCATTACWATTTTAAGCATATTTCCAGTAGAACCTGAAATCCTGCATTAAGTCCTACCAGCTTTTAAATTAATTAGAGTATCTTTCTGTCTATCTGAGGAAACTCCCAGCCTTTTCCCAGCAGTTTCTTGCCTGCTGGACTGTGTTTTCRCTCACGTTTCGCGTTATCTATCAGCTGCAGCGACAGCTGAGCAGGGAAGCAAGACCCCAGCTCCTTCATGGAGCAACAACGTAGCTTTTTCGATGTTTATACGGAAATAAGTACCTCAAGGGGGAAACATTTCCCATTTTCGGCACTTCCCAACCCCGCAGGGACTGAAATGTCGCTGGTTATTATCAAACCTTTTACATTGGCACGGTGAGGGTTATGGTGGTGTTAAACCAGCTCTTTTCTTTCTTTTTTTTTTCTTTTTTTTTTCTCTGTGCTTTAACATTTTTTTTTTTTTTTTCTTTTTTTAACCAAAAACACAAGCGGCCACAAACGCTGGAGCTTTCCGGGATAAGTAAGACATTAAGGAACGAAACACAAAGATAGAGCGTGCCATCTCTAAAATAAAAATGATAATGATGAAAATAATAATGATGATGAAAATAATAATGATGATGAAAATAATAATGATGATGAAACGAAGGCCGTTTGGGCCCGGGCGCCCCTTCCCGCCGGCGCGCAACGGCCGCCGCGGCCCCGCGGGCTGCGGCCGGCGGCGGCGCCGCGATCCCGCCCCAGGGCGCCCCTCCCGGCCGGGCGGGGCGGGCCCAGGCGCCACGGCCGCCCCGAACCGAGGCGAACGGGCGGCGCGAACCGCCGCCGCCTCCTTCCTCCTCCTCCTCAACGGCCGCCCGCGCGGGCCGCGGCGGCTGCCGCCATGGGGCTCTGCCTGCCCTGCCTGGGCGGCGCCGTCAAGGACGTGGTGGAGACGCCCGACCCGGTGAGTGCGGCCCCGCGCCCGGCTCCCCCGCGCCGCTCCTCGCGGCCGCCGCC